AGTGTTCTTCAGTGGGGGCTGCGGCAGAAGCAGTCTGGGTATATGCGTATCTCTGAAATAAAAATCTAAAACCACGTTCACCTAACAGTTATTAACAATGCCTTAGTGGCCCCAAAATTCAGACAGTGATCAGATTTCCTGGTTGAGTCATGATATTTTAAAGTTTCAAAACTAGATCTAAATAAAGTTCGTATGTGGTATTTCGTAGTTACACCTGTTCATTCTCTTTCTAGCTCTATGGCTATTTCCCCTCCAGTTTTTCTTTCTTCCAGTTTGTTAAAGCATTTGTTTGTCCCATAGAATTTACAAGTCTAAACTGTGATATTTTACCCTGTGGTGTCACTTCACATAGCCTCTCGTCACCTGTTATTTCTTGCAGACTTTTAGAGACTCCTAGAGCGCTGATGAAAATCGGGGCTTTTGTTTTCAGCAAAAACATTCCCCTTATGATATTTCAGGTACAAGTCATAGCACAAGTAAGAATGCCTGATTATTTTTTACCACGTTTCAAGGTGGTAAAAATTGATTCATCAGGGTATGCCAAAAAAGTAACTGTAGAAATGTGCTTATATTTTAATATAGACTTTTTTATAATATGAATTTATGAACCTAAACATTCAGTGTATCCTAATCCCTAGCAATTATTAATATTGGTGCTCCAGTTCCAACTTCAATTATAGAAGCTTCTTCATACGGCCTCCTCAGCCCTTTTGGGGTCTCTTGAATATTTATAATTTTCTTGCTTTCCAGAATGACAAATATTCCATATAGATCCCCTGCACTTCTTGCCCCAGAACTGGAATCAGCCATTTGTTCAAGAAATGCTGTTTGTTTTTAATGGGAAGTTTAAAGGCCATAGTCCCCCTGCCTGGGTCATCGTGTTTAGCCTTTTCAGAGGAAACAGCTGGAATGTGTCTGTGTGTATGGTAGAGGTACAGAAGGCACCCACAAGAGGGTTGACTTGCCAGGGCCTGCTAAGGGCGCTGACCGCAGCCACATGTGGGGTCCCATTCAGGGAGGACACAGGATAGATAGCACAGCTGGCTTGATAGCAGGTCAGAATGCAGCAGCCCTCCTCACGAGGTAGCACCCTCTCAGCCCAGCTTCCTAGGACCCTCCCTTCTCATGAACAATTCATGAAGCAAGGTTCAGTTCAGGTAAGCACAGAAGCTGCCCCGATGAGGCCTCGGTCACCCCAGAGGCCATCGCCTCTTATACCAGCTCCCTGGGTGAGACCTTGCGGATCTCCTCAGGTGAAGAATTTGTACACGCAGGGAAGCCGAGCGTGGCGTTCCATTAAGCATTTATGATTCATGCGTAGAACTCCCAGGCCAGAGTAATTTGTCAGTTAGGTCATTTAAGCAGATAACACAGTTGATGGATCATCTTTGACGAGTATCCTGGAGAGCAGAGATAACTTTTTACAGACAAAGTATACCGCGAATTATTCATGCCCATACTTCCATTTATTATTGAGGACTATGGAAATTTTACTTCATTCACCATGCATCTGTATTTCTTCTTTCTCATGCTAAAGTCCTTGTCCCCTGCACACCACCAGCATTATGCATTTGTTGTATCCCATATTTGTACGTACATAACGGCCTCATAAAATTAGACCAACATGCCACCACCGTGATGAAACAGCTCACGACACTTTCCTTCAGTTCCTTTTTATCCTTAGTACATATTTAAGGATACATGCTGTTATGTATCTAGGTGTCCCCCCCTCAAAGCCTCATGCAGTCATGGGGTTGACTTCTAGAGTTTGTGATTAATTCATGATCCACTGGGATTATGGGTGTGAGTGCTGCTGGGATTACAGGATTAGTGAGTACTGCACCCAGCCTGGGGCAGATAGCCTGAATGCAGTTTAAGGGAGTGTCTTAGTTATTCTTCTCTCCTTGCTGGGACAAATACCCGACACTCAAAATGAAGGAAGGAAAGGTTTATTTAGCTCACAGTTACTGGAGGTTTCAGTCCATACTCAGCTGGGTCCAAGGCAGAGCAGCACACAGC